ACTTAATCGTTTGGATTTGTCTACTTAATACAGTTTGGAATTCACAGTATATCTACCACATGGTGATTGGACTTCCACCCACTCACCATACGTCTGTCATATGGTGTCTGGACTCACGCGCACCTCACCATATACCGTTTGGACACCAAGATAATCATTAACCAATCATTTATCCAAGTTTGGATAAATGATTGGTTGAAGTGTTGCAACTTCTTGGTTCACTATATCTGACTATAGAATCAGCCCAACACAGCAACGCAAGCATTGCCCTTCATATCTAAGTTAATACCTGTTAACCTTCTGAAGATGTATTTAATATACGAAAGTACTTAAGGAAATTTCCTGTTTCATTTTTCCTCCGTGGTCTGACATTGTCACATTCTTAATCACGTGTTTATTTTCGTGATATACACACTTAATACCTGTTATTTAACACATCACAAGCATTGTGAGCTTCCTTTAAAGGAGGCATCGGGAAGTTAAGGAGCGAGTTGGCTCTTAAAGAGAAGCGGAAGTATGGCTTGTTTGTCTACTTAATCGTTCTTTGACTCAAGAGGCCGCTGGCTTGTGAGTTCTAATCCCCTCGACGTCTTCAGAGGTGCGATTATCTCACCAATATGGCTTTACTAAGGCCATTGGTTTCCTTTACTTTTTCTTTTTTAGTTATTTTTATTCATTTTCTTAAAGAAAATTAATTGATTATAAATCTTTATTAATAATATTGAATGTCATTAATTATGATCTTGTATTATTATTTGTCGTAGTAATAGCATCATTATAATTATTATTGTTGTTCTTATTACCAATTGTTGTCGTTATCAGTTGTTTTCAGTTGAAAACTAACTTGTTTTTATTATTATTATTGTTTTTGTTTAGGGTCTCGGTAGTACAGTTGGGTTCGTTCTTGAATCACAATCAGTAATCTCGATTGTTGAATGTGGGTCGGAATTATCTTTGGAGAACACGCACACTATTTAGTTCGCCGGTGGCTGAGTGGATAGCACGCTGGGTACGTAGTCCTGTGGTCCGGGATTTCATTCCCGGGCTCTGGCGGGAAACAAAATGGGCAGAGTTTCTTTCACCCTGACGCCCCTCTTATCTAGCAGTAAATATGTACCTGGGAGTTAGACAGCTTTCACGGGCTGCTTTCTGGGTGTGTGTGTGTGTGGGGGGGGGGGGGAAGAAGTTAGTAGTTAGTAACATTTGATTGGTTGATAGTTGAGAGACGAGTCGACAGAGCAGAGCTCAACCGCCGCAAGCACAACTAGGTGAATACAGTGCACCCATATACTGATGAGTCATATTATGAGTCAAACTTTCTGGTCATCTTTTTAAGTCTTAAAAATGTTGATATTATGTTATGTTGATGTTGATATTGACAGCCCCTGCTTCTTGCAGGACCCGTACTCGATCCCCGAAGTGTCAAGTAGATGGGTATCGTTCCTTCACACCTTATTCCTATCTCAGCTCCTATCATGGCCTCCTATCCCTACTATATAATACATAATCATATTGGCTTAGTGCTTTCTCCTCATAATTCTGTTTTCCCTTAAGTATATGACCTCATCTCTCTGTAGTAGATATTGCGCCCTTTCTTTGCGGTAGACATGACCTTTCCTCTCTAGTAGATATCATTCTTTGTACTAAACAGAACCATAGTGGATAGGACTGTATTTTGTTTCGTTCTGTAGCACGTAGGACTTTATTTATAGAAGGTATGACCTTCCCTCTGTAGAAGATATGACCTTTGGTCACTGCTGTAGATGTGACCCGTGAGGTGGCACCACCACCTGCCTTACCAAGGCCTTCGACAAAATGGAATAAAAGAATTAAAATTATTATTATTACTAAAAAACATTTTTGGTACCTGAATTAAGGCTATTTGTGCCGTTATCAGACAGCCGTTCCAAGGACGCTTCTTTACTAAATATTTTCCGAACCACTTCTGACTAACTTTCTATATACAAACTTTCAAAACAACTTAATTTTCCTACCGCGATCACCATGCGAAGAGAGGGGGACACTCATCTCGAGCTTAAAAGGCACTGGAGCGCATGATCTAGCATATTAAATATTGACACTGTCGAACAACTGGTAGCCACGCCTGATGGTCCAAGTGGCTTGGCACCTCCTAGTCTCTACAGCCTAGTTCCTGGTCCTCACACCCCAGCACCTGGTCCCCCATACCCCAGATCCTGGTCCTCATACCCCAGCCTGGTTTCCCCACACCCCAGATCCTGGTCCTCATACCCCAGAACCTGGTACCCCTACTCCACAGATCCTGGTCCTCATACCCCAGCCTGGTTCCCCCATACCCCAGATCCTGGTCCTCATACCCCAGCACCTGGTCCCCCATACCCCAGATCCTGGTCCTCATACCCCAGCACCTGGTCCCCCATACCCCAGATCCTGGTCCTCATACCGCAGCCTGGTTCCCCCACTCCACAGATCCTGGTCCTTATCCCCCAGCACCTGGTCCCCCACATCACAGATCCTGCTCCTCATCCCCCATCTACTGGTTCCCCACACCCCCATATCCTGGTCCTCATACCCCAGCCTGGTCCCCCACATCCCCAGATCCTAATCCTAATCCCTTCCAACTGCTATAGAGCTGTCAGTTTACAACTTCAAGGCTCCGGGTTCGATTCCCGAGTAGTTCGGAAAGGTTTGGGCACGTTTCCTTTCACCTAATGCCGTAAATAGATTCTTGGGAGTTAGATAACTTGTGTTGCATCCCGGGACGCATAATATGGTTAGTGTTGCACTAACTGCACGAGACCTAAGTCAAGTGTATCAGAGATCTGGTCTGGACAAAGCTACACCTTGGACGAAGCAGAACCCGTCTCGTTGGATTCATTTAAACCCACAGGCTCCACGGCCTTGTAGGTCTGGTCTAACCCTACCGGTAAATTGGGCTCATAGTGTTGATTTTATCACCTTTCTCTTTAATTCACCTTTAATTTTGTTGAATTCTTGTAATGTTAATTATATATTTTACTTAATGTCCTTTGGATATCTGATTATGGATTAGAGCGAACATCATTAATGATGCTAAATCTTGAGATATTAATGTAGTAACAGAGAGTAAAAACAGCTCACAAGAAACGTTTTCCTCACAGAAGACTTTTGAGTCTATTGAATTTTGGTCGGTGATGTACTTCAAAGTTTAGTTTGCATATAAACTAAATCTAAATCTTGCATCTAAACCATTTTGTTTTAATAGCAAATCTATCTATTACTCAGCGAGGTATAGAAATTATCAGGAAAAAGTGCCAAGCAAATATGACTTTAGAGCCCTTGGAAGGGACATGAGGACAGGATATCTGGACGGAGTAAAGAACCGGTAGTCAACTCATTAACCAGCAAGAATATGCAGGTCTAGATACAGGTGGGACGGGGGAAGGGAAGGGGAGGGGAGTACCTTGCATCAATGCCCAGAAGCTGAAGCATGCTTGGCGGTATTCTGGCCCAGGAGGTAGTGGGGGGAGTGGGAGGGTGGTGATACATGGGTAGTGAGGAGTCGGCGAGTGCTTGTTGTGGTGGTGGAAGGGGGAGTGGTGGGTGGTTGTGGTGGTGGAAGGGGGAGTGGTGGGAGTGGTGGGTGGTTGTGGTGGTGGAAGGGGGAGTGGTGGGAGGTTGTGGTGGTGGTAAGGGAGTGGTGGGTGTGGGTGGGTGCTTGTGGTGGTGGTAGGGAAGTGGTGGGCGTGGATGGGTGGTTGTTGTGGTGATTGGAAAGTGGTGGGTGTGGGTAGGTAGTTGTGGTGGTGGTAGGGGAGTGGTGGGCGTCAACGTGATGGAAGGTGTGAGTGGGTGGTTGTGGTAGTGATAGGGAAGTGGTGGGTGTGGGTGGGTGGTTGTGGGGGTGATACATGAGCATCGAGGAGTCGATGGGTGGGGGTTTGTGGGTGGGGAGAGGTAGGTGGGTAGTAGATGGGTATTAAGGTGTGGGTGTTTGGAAGCTGTGGTAGTAAGAGAGTGGTGGAGATGTGGGTGGATGATGAGTAGGTTACCAGTTCTTGTGATCGCCTGTGGGTTGACGTTTTGTTTACCTTTTGGTGGTCCCAGAGGGGTGAGGGGTGAGGTGGGGGTCAATGCACCCCCATGCCCAGTTTCTGATTAAGCCAACTAGTTCAAGGTCTAGTCTATGAGACTGTTAGTGCCCGCACCTCGTAGACAGATGAAGGCACAACAGCTATTTCATCAAGTACCCATTTGAACTGTTTGGCCATTTCAGTTGAACACGATTTTAAGTGTTAATAATTTGTCTTTTATTTAGAGGAAGAGTGAACAAAAACTTTAGGCCCCTAAAGTTTACAAAATTGTCTCAGTGTTCTTATTGTGCCATACTTTTCAAATGGGCTATTTTGCACAGGCAGACAAGCCTTCTAGTCACGTGGGGAATTATTTAAGTGTGAAGATTTGGCAACCAGTCACTTTAATATTTTACAGATATGGCTTATGGTGTGTCTCATGTGTGTGTAAGATGATGGAGTTTAAGCGCTCACAATAATTTTGTTGTTATTTAATTGTGAAGATTCGAGCGGTAAATATTTATGTGCACGTAATCTTGGCCTGTGACTCTTCAGAAGTAAAATGAGCAGTTAATGTGCAACAATATTCCACCCTAGAAAGTACAAGTATCGTAAAAAAAAGTATCAACATTAGTTTTACATCTCATAGATGAAAGAATCTTATTCAATCATTTTTCTTGGAGATACGGCAATTACACTGTTGTGTTATTTAAATGTAAGGAGTTTTCTATGACTACTGCCACATAACTTATGTTGTTCGTAAGTTCTATAGTGTAGTTTGACGGCAATTGGTGAACAGCTCAAGTCTAAGTTTATTTATTATTATCAATGAGGAGGAAGTACAATGTTTAAATCCAAGGATGTCACCGGTTTCTCGGTCCCCACTGGATATTAGAACCTGTTTTTTTTTCATCTTAAATATTGAATTTTGTGCATCTTAACTTGGGCCAGAATATAAGAGCATGGTGTCTATGGCTTCTTTAGACTCCAGTGGGTACTGGTAAGTGGGATTGGTGAGTGAGTGTTTCGCTCGTGGGCAGGTGGGCGGAATGTGGTTGGGTTGCTGGTGGTAGGAGGGAGTTGCTGTAGTGGGAAGTGGGGGGGAGGTGGCAGAGAGGGTGGCAAGTTAGGGGGTGGAGGACTGGCAGTGGAGATCGTAGGTGGGGGTGTGGGAGGGTGGTGGCCGGTGAACTTGGAGCTCAGTAGTGGCACGGTCGGCATGGTGGGAGGCAGCAGTGTGTCGCTCCTGACTTACCTGGTTCCATCCGCGACTGTGGTTCCATAACCCCCTCCCCCCCCCACCCCGGCTGTACACACCCACAACCCTCCAGGTGATGACATTTACAACCCGTGTGCGTCGCCTCAATAAAGGCTTCTCTTATAAATAGTGCCGCATCATTTCGTGGGATTAATGGACAATTTAAAGTGTTTTATTGTGATGGATAATTTATAGCCATGAAATAAAGGATACGCACTGGGTTTACCATCATCTCTGATTATCACTGATACACCAAAATGCCTCATTAAAATTCGTGCTTAATTCCACATATTTAGACAAAATTACGATCTTTCAATTAATTAAAACTATTGGAATTGAAAGCGGTCGTGATATATGTTAAATTAAAAAAAGGGGAATTCTGATGACCAACCAGTGATGAGCGCTCATGCGCATCGCTTCCGGCCAGAGTGACGACGTCTGCGATATGGTGGTCGGAAGGAAGTGTAGCGGAAACAGAGAGCAGACGGAGAGCAAAGTCGGCGTTTCACGTCCCCTCCGTTAAACCCGTGTTGGACTACCGTTAAGCAGCTCAAGGCTCTCCCACCAGCTACTTTGTCCTGAGAACATTGCAGTGGTCCTATAGAACAAAGATGGAAATGGTGCTTGTTTTAATACCATGAGCAGCATTAACTATTTTATTGTAGAGTGTCTTGGAACAGAGTTAATACAGTACCAAGCTGAAGAGGAAGTGTGTGTGTGTGGAAGAGGAACCCAAGTGCTGACGTAGAACACCCAGTGTGTGTTCAGAGGGTGCTGAGTTTCCTGGGGGACGGTAGTTCAAGCACAGACGGCAGCAGTTGCCCCGGAACAAAAACACTTGCGGTCCTGCTCTGACGGACTCACATCTGTCGCCTCCAACTGTTTCTCCGGCCGCAGCCTTGTCCGAAGTGGCTAGGAAAACATCCCTCTTGGCAACACATTAGACTCTGCTGTAGTTCATTTTAATTGCTGTCTCTTTAAAGAAGTACATCTAGTTTTCGTAAAATAAATGCTAGAATACATTAGAACTGTTAGAAATAAATTGGTACAACTACAAAAATTGAAGTCACAGCATCAGAAAAATTAACCTGCAAGTACTTGGACAAAAAAAAAGGGAAAATATCATATTCAGTTTTTTAAGAAATCATAGTCAAAGATCTACGGTTCGGCACCCCTTTACCAATAGTCCTGATTCACACCACCCTCACCACCACATCCACCTTCCCTCGCCCCCACCACTACCACCTTCCCTCGCCCCCACCACTACCACCTTCCCTACAACCCACATCTCCACCACTACACACCTCGTGGGGCTCCACACTCGCTGCCTCCTCGGTCACCTTCCATCGTCTGGAATAAACAGCTCACCTCCTGTCCTGAGGAGATGCGCAGGTGACTGACCCCGCGAGTCTTAATGGATCAGAAATTGTCCTTACTCCCTGTGCGCCGCCCTAAGTAATTTTACGAGTCCATGAGGAATTATGTTCTGGGGAAAGTGAGGCTTTTTAATAAATATTTCAGTAACTAATAATTTGAGTACATGAAAATATATACAAGTGTATCTGGGTGTTATCTCTGACACGTGGCATGGAAGCGTAAACACATGGGGTTGTGTGTGTTGGCTGTGGCCAGGGCAGAGGTGGCTATGACCTGGCCGTTATCAGTTAGTGCTGCCGGAGCGTCGCCTCACCCCCCCTCATGGGCTGCCTGCTGAGTGTCTCCAGCAACACCTGCGTCAACGTGGTGGACCTGGCCGCCGTAGGAGGCCTTAGCGATGTCTCCCTCCACAGGAAGAAGAGAACTAGCTTCTTATCTGCTAGTCGCTACTCTTCTCTTTTCTCCGCGAAGCGGCGGAGCAGTGGGGAGAGGGGGCGACAGGCCCCCACTTCCCCCAGAAGACCGGGGTTACTTGTCGCTGATGCTCTGAGGAACCTCCAGCGAGCACATTCCTTCAGACATGGAGAATGTTACCTCTGTAATTACAAAAATAAGTCCTGTAATGGTGTGTGTATCCACCGCGAGATCTTCACATCGGTTAAACCTGGGTACTACTCCAGTTATTACAACAGGGATTCCCACGATAGAGTCAAGAGAAGTGGATCCCTCAGGAAGTCGCTAAACGCTCTCCCGTCGTCTAGGGAGAGCGACGTGTTCAGCGTCGACTCCCTCTCCAAGGGCACGGTCCTTAGGAGAACCATCCGCAGAGATTCGTCCAGGTCTTTCAAGGCAAAGAATCGCAAATCAATGAGGTCCATCACAGCGTTTCCCTCAGATGCTCCTCCTCCCGAGCTGGGAATCAAACCGCAGGTCTCCTATAGACTCTCACGCAGGAGTCTCAGGCAAGAGATGTACGAAGCCTCTGTCACCAGCTACGAAGAGAATGAAGCGCTGGCGACTCTGCATGATATCCTGTACGCCAACAGCACACAAGACTCTCATTATGCTTCCAGCGCCGAAAACAATGATGAGGACGATGACGATTATGAATCAATTAGGCCACCTTTGCCCAAAAAGAATCGTAAAAGACCCGAAGATAATCCTGGAGCTACACACGACTTGGTCACGCAGGTCGTGTCCCAGAGTGACTGTCTCATGCGGAAGGGGACACTTACTGCAAGTGACTTTGGTCTGTTGAAGGGATCTAAGAACAGCCCCCCGCTTCTCACACCCCTACCATCCAATCCTAACTATTGTTCCTTACTTGAGCCAAACCTGAGCTCCGACGACATGACCAATTCGATCCTGTCAATTGGAAGCGAAGGCACAGCGAGTCCATATAGAGAAGAAGACAAGGCTGACGAATTTTACAGGGAATTCAGGGAAAATTGCAGAAACTCACAGGAGGATCGGGAGTGTGCTAGCTACCAGTACGTCGATCTTGTCCCCTCGCCTGAGACACTTCAGATGACGGTTCAAGATAAGACGGCAGTCATGGAAAGGTAAAATAATTTTTATTTTGTATTATCTGTGTAAGAACATTCTGAAGCAACTCACAGCATGCGTGATGCAGTAAAGTTTGAGAAGCTTTTATATAGTGCTTAATCCCTCGTCAAAGAGCATGACTGACGCCAATGTAGGCTATCTTATATATATATATATATATATATATATATATATATATATATATATATATATATATATGCGGAAAAACACATTTTAAGAATTAGAGAATGCTGAACGCGTATTCCGTTCAATTCGCCTTCACCAGAGCAAGATAGGGAAGTCTGATTAAGGTGAATTGAGCGGAAAACTCGTTCACATTCCCAAATTCTTTAAATATGGATCAGTGTTTTAATGATCGTTGTTGCAGTTTAATGTAAAGGTAGTACCACCTCTGGCTGGAAGAAGGTGGACCCATAACCTCGGAGATAAACACTCACAACGCATTAGAGAGGATTTTTGGGTCCCCTTCAAGGCAGTTTCCATGTTCATTAGTCATACCACTCCCCTTCTCTTTATGTTTTGTTTTGCTTTGTTAGATATCTATAGGTTGCAAGTTGTACATTGGTGAATACAAAGAGTGTTTAATCACGCTTTGTATTCACAATCTCTTGGGGCTCCTCCACTACTAGACAGGAACCAAGGACATAGTACGCGTTTTCCCTCTGGATCGCCGCACAGAAGCGCTGAATCAGGAAGCTGGCAGCCCTTGGGTCTCTGGTGGAGGCAACGAGCCTGGAACCCATTTCTTTGAGAGAGCTCATGGCACTCCTACCCCCGGGGCCGAGCGTCTGAGATGCTATGGGAACAAACGTGTAATTGACTTTCCAGTTGCCTGTACGTGATTGATTTAGTTTTTTTCCTGTGGTTGGCGGCACCACCTGCTTGAACAGCACCGAGGTGTATATAGGTGTCAGCGATTTATATATATATATATATATATATATATATATATATATATATATATATATATATATATATATCGTACCTAGTAGCCAGAACGCACTTCTCAGCCTACTATGCAAGGCCTGATTTGCCTAATAAGCCAAGTTTTCATGAAATAATGTTTTTTCGACTACCTAACCTACCTAACCTAACCTAACCTAACTTTTTCGGCTACCTAACCTAACCTAGCCTCTAAAGATAGGTTAGGTTAGGTTAGGTAGGGTTGGTTAGGTTCGGTCATATATCTACGTTAATTTTAACTCCAATAAAAAAAAATGGATCTCATACATAATGAAATGGGTAGCTTTATCATTCCATAAGAAAAAAAATTAGAGAAAATAGATTAATTCAGGAAAACTTGGCTTATTAGGCAAATCGGGCCTTGAATAGTTGGCTGAGAAGTGCGTTCTGGCTACTAGGTACGACATATATATATATATATATATATATATATATATATATATATATATATATATATATATATATATATATATATATATATATATACATATATGCAGAATAACCTAAATACAGAATATTATGCAGAATAAAGCATAATATGCAGAATATGCAGAATAACTGCATATATATATATATATATATATATATATATATATATATATATATATATATATATATATATATATATATATATATATATATATATATATGTCGTACCTAGTAGCCAGAACTCACTTTTTGGCCTACTATTCAAGGCCCGATTTGCCTAATAAGCCAAGTTTTCCTGAATTAATATATTTTTTCTAATTTTTTCTTATGAAATGATAAAGCTACCCATTTCATTATGTATGAGGTCAATTTTTTTTTATTGGAGTTAAAATTAACGTAGATATATGACCGAACCTAACCAACCCTACCTAACCTAACCTAACCTATCTTTATAGGTTAGGTTTGGTTAGGTAGCCGAAAAAGTTAGGTTAGGTTAGGTTAGGTAGGTTAGGTAGTCGAAAAACAATTAATTCATGAAAACTTGGCTTATTAGGCAAATCGGGCCTTGAATAGTAGGCCAAAAAGTGAGTTCTGGCTACTAGGTACGACATATATATATATATATATA